TGCTTACATCTGTGTCTTCTTACTTTGTAAACTGCTTACAGCTGTGTGTTCTTACTATTTAAACTGCTACACAGTCGTGTCTTCCCACTTTTTAAACTGCTAATACACCTGTGCCTTTTCACGATGTAAACTGCTTATGGCTGTGTCCTCTCACTATGTAAACTGCTTATAGTGTATCACTTGAATCTGCTACATTCGCTATGTAGACTGATCACAATCACACCGGAATAGCCTTACAACGGTAAAGTCAGATTCCATTGTCACAAATGGCGGACATAACCGTCGCTTTAATTAGATTTTCATGAACTGTATCTTTAATAGAGCACCTTCTCACTACCATCGAAACAAAAGTCTTTCATTTAACCGATCAAAATGAGATACGGGACAACGGACACTTAATTATGCCGTTGTCTTTGTAAATTATTATATTATATTAATTCAGATTCCGTTGTCATTGACGATATCGAAGACGCTATATTATAGCGATTCGCGACCCAATTTGATCGAAATTGGGATTTCATCTGGATATACCATCACAAGAGTTTAATGCATGCACAGAATTAGCGACAAAAAAATCCCATAAAATGAGCACCAAGTGATTAAATAATTGAAGCGACGGTTATGTCCGCCATTTGTGACAACGGTATCTGACTTTACCGTTGTCAGGCTATTCCGGTGTGACAATGTACCACTTGTCCTTGCTACATTTATTGTATCACTTGTCTCTGCAACACTCACAGTGAAACTGCTCACACTGTATCACTTGAACCAATTCATGGATGAAAGAGGTGGATGGTTTGTGTATCGGCCTACTGGATGTTAAAGGGGTAAAAGCAAAAATGAATTATTTGTCACCGACTACTTCAGGCCATAAGAGTGGATCAATGCACTCCAAGTAAAAGGCGCCATGTTCCATCATACTTAGGAGTTTGATGACCAAATACATTAGAAACATACTCCAGGGGAAAATATTATCTTTAGATCATCAATATTTCATAAGAAAGAAGAGTAACTAGAAAACAGCATCCCCTTGGAGTGGCATATCCCACATATGTTTCTCAAACCATCAATTTGAAATTTCATTGTAGAAATTATCAGGCAATGTTTGATTCTCGGTTTGGCATAACGAAACCTGTGATGCAACATTATTTTGAATATAAATCAAATCTTTCAAGCGGTATTCAAATCATAAACAGAAATATTAAGAAATGGCTGCCATTAAGAATATATAGCCATTTTGAAAAAAGGTGTCAGGTTGACTCCATAGTTTATTGATAAAAAAGAGAGTTTTAAAAAACTTACTAAAGTCAAAAGTCAAATGCAGCCATTTTGAAAATGTGGAGTCGATTCCAATACATATTTTATAACAATCAGTGTCATCATACAATAAAAGTGTGAATGCATAGTTCCATGAAACAGTGTTTGAGTTATAGCCAAAGACATAATATTTTTGACAAAAAGGATGTTCATTTTGGATTTGGAGTGAATTTGAAATGCAAAGTTATTTTACATACACAAAGCACAAACATTTCAAATATGGACTAAGTTTTACATGCGGTAGGCTATTAAATCTCTCTTCAAAATAAATTGTAGACATTACAAGATTTCCATGAAATCAATGAAGGCATACTTTGGAAAGATCTCAGAATTGATGGAAATGCCCATCATTTACTTGTATAGAGCTGATGGAATCGGTACTAAAAAACTCAGAATATTTATTCCATGAATAACTTCAATGTAGGCATACATACATGAAGAAAATAGATCCGGATTAAATATTTAGATGTGCCCTAGACAGACAGATGAAAGGTACTCACAAAATTCCTAACAATTTATAAGACGATAGGATTGAAACAAATCTGAGTTACCGTGTTTGAGTTATTACCATGGGAAACGAATGGACTCACACGGTTCCAATATCTCTACACAAACTTTGTCAGTGGTATGATTAGCCATTAATTAGATTTGCTACTCATGGTGTATTTTTAGATGGCAATATCTTTTGGCTGGTGTTCTCGGAGGGTCAGGTTGACAGTACGAATGATGGCTTACAATTGCTACAATGCGGATAATTTCCTTGTGGTATTGTCTCTTGCACGATGTATTTTTTTCAACTTATGTTATTACTAAGACTTGAATACCTTCGGGGGATTAATAACCTGCTTTCACGTATGTATTGATCTTAATATATTTAAAACGTATAATTGCCCTAATAAAGACTTTGGGCAATAATAATATTGCAGTAAAACGAGGAGCTGATTTTAAGGCAAATTTTGAAAATTCACCTGTTCACAAGAAACATTGGTTATATTGTACTTCCCATTGTTTTTCAGAAGTGTGGATGACTTTCGCCAATAGTTGATTCTTAAGAGCTGTATACATTAATATATCATATGAGATTAGGATAAGCCAAATGTTAACAGGATGTGACATTTTCCACCCACTGCTAATTACCCCACTATTCTATATGTCAAAGTAATCTCTTTGTTATAAATTGGCATGCCACCAAGGAAGCATTCGCGAATTCAACTGCCGGTTGTCGGCTGACTGATTAACTCACTATTTTATGACCAACTCGTTTAGATATGAAATATGAATCGCATCTGCTATCATTATATTCATATTTAATTTGGAAATGAGTTGGCTATAAAATAGTAGATTTAACCGTCAGGCGACAGTTGAATTTGCGAATGCTACCTTAGCTAGCATTGAGGAATATCCTAGATGCGAGTAGAAATAATCTTGATTAACATCATTAAAAATTCACAATTCAGTCAAACTGGTGTCATATTTGGAATCTACATATAAAATTACATCGAAAAATGTGGTTTTGAAAAAATTTTATCAACTTAGAAAAATTAATTTTCTTTGAAAATGTGACTTCTAGGTCGGGGAGATTCCCCATAGACCCTATGTCGTAAAACCACAAAAAGTGAAATATCTTGTCTTGTGTTGGGCAGATAATATTTTCTTTTACTGGACATATTTTAATTTGTATAACTATCACATACATAAGGGTAATTTGAAAAGTGAACCACTAAAACGGATGCATATTCAAGTGTAAGGGAATTTTGTAATACCCTGCCATGTTATTTCCCCCGAATCAGCCACCTGGTGGCGAAGCTGGTAACTAACTACCTACTCGCATCTGAGTAATTCAACCACCGTCTGACGGATTAACAACTATATAGCAAAATTTCATTTAATATGAATAGTGGCAGGAACTATTCATATCTAAATGAGTTGTTCATAAAATAGCAGTTAATCCGTCAGCCAGTAGTTGAATTCGCGAACACTACCTAATGCCAAAGCTTGATGACCAGTCCAGAGAGCTTTCTTTGTTGGCAGGTTTTACTGTATTATACATATAATTGTCACTCTCGTTGCACATTTTTCTTCATTTACTTAGTTACCAGTTTCATTCTAAAGTGGCTCACTCAGATCAGATAACATGGCAAAGATAAAAGGGTTCCCCCAACTTGAATGATTTTACAAATGCAATTTTCATCAAATTCTCAAGAGTTTTAGTGGAAAAGAACACTTTGTTTTTCTTAATATTTAACATATATATGTACTGTAAATTAGGAATGAAATCAACTAGCTAGAAGTCACATCTTTGCAGATGTCACATATCATTTAAACTGGCTACTAACATCATTGACAATTGTAGATTTATTTCACATAAGACAAAGACTGTTTTGTATGTATATCTTTTTTATTAAATAATGTCATTTTGTTTACAATGTACTGTATAATTCTTCTGTTACTAATTTTATATGGCATAATATGGCTCCATTCAGTTGGATGTTGTCAATTGTATATTAAATACTATGTACAGGCTAAAACCGAACAGTAAAGTTAGATAATAAAAACAATATTCATAGAAACTTTAAAAAGTTTTTCATTTTTCTAATAAAAATCAATAATTTCTTTTTTTAACATGATTTGTCCCAAGGACACTAAAAATGATAATTTGTTTTAATTTTCATAATTATTCTAATTGATGCTTAAGCTATACATATTATACAATTACATTACATATAAACCAGTATCCAGACAATAACTGATATTCATACTAAAATAACTGATGATAGAATGTGTATGTAAATGAAGATTCCATAAACCATTACAATATTAAAAGGTTTTGCTCTCTTAAGAATCAGCAAATTTCAAAAGAAAATTTCAGCACTATGATCAGTTTTGCATAGAGGAAAATAGGAATTAAATCAATTTTTTACAGATAAACAAGGGACAATCCTTGATGAACATTTGCTTCTAATATAAATTGCTGAAAATTAATTAGTCATATGCATTATAAAAAAGTCCAATATAAAATAATTTATTGAAACGAATAAATTGATAATTGTGTCATTATGACACATATGTTTTATATCAGTGATTACATAAAATTCTCTCCACAATACAAAACATTGTTTCCATTGATATCTTAGTGCCAATTCAATGTTACATTTATAATTAGCATCACTATTATGTAATATATCTAAAGGTATTGTTCAAACCCATTCATACTCTGATAAAAAACATTTACACATCTCCCTTTAATACATATATTACAAGAAAAGCTATGTTTCACATATTTCCTGGACCACCCTGTACTCAGTGGAAGTAACAGATTTACACTGACAATGGTTTCCGAATCACATGGACCCAGAATCAGGATGCGACGTAAGTGCCAGGCTGAAAGGCCAGACAAGTTAGATTTACAACAGGTCAGCTGATTTAAGCACATACTGTATAGCGTTTAAATTCAATTATATCAGGAAGTCCTGAATCCTTATATCGCATCCTGCCTAGGACTATGATTCCAAGCCCTATTAAATAATTCAAAGACCAAGGACATTCACAGCTTCACTGTCTACATGATCTTTGACCATGGACTTTGATATACACACATCTGAAGTAAAGCTGTCCTTACAAGCATGTACCCTTACTAGAAGTAAGCCAAGCTAAACCAAACCTGACATCTATGAAGCATACAACTGCTTACTGTTCAACTAATCTAACTACAAGCTGGTCAATGATATCAAATCATTGCCCTTTTGTACAGCACCACATTGATTCTATACAACCACGTTGGTTCACACTGCATCGGAATCCATAATGTGTAGTCCACACTGTACAATATACACACTTCCACCCTACAATCGCACACAAACAGCTCCCCTTGGAGCATAGCATATGCTCCCTTGTCCTATGGGAGCATACCACGAGCTCATTCCTCGGAGCAAAACACATGCTCCCCTGTCCTCCGGGAGCATACCATGAGCTCTTTCCTATTGCACATTGGGCATTATTATTGTTAGGCCTTGCTTTTTACATGATAACATAATGTATGCAGTACATGTTATAATAATACTGTAGCTCATGTTAACCTACTGTAGATGTTGCAGTTGAGTACCTGTATATCTCAATTCAGTAGATCTGGTGGCTGAATCCAAACGAAACCACTCGCAGACCCAAGTTCAAACATTGTTATTTCGAAAATGAAAAGCAGTTAGAATAATATTCTAACACACATCTTACTGTACAATTAATCGTCCATGCCTGAACATTTCACTTTCCATTATTCATGTAGGTTAAATGGAAATAACCAGGGATTCCTCTTTGCATCTTGCTCTAGCTGTACTGTTCCTTATTTAAGCAGCAGATAGCACGTATTGAGTCTACAGCTGACATAACAATATTCTCTTGCAGTAACGTATGTCATGGTGATAGACTCAGTTACAGGTATCATAGCACAAACTTAGTAACCACTGCCATAGCAACAATCTCAAAGTTGCCATAGTAACATAAGACCCGCAGCATTGCTATGCCCAGTGAATCCATCAAGCCTTGTCCTGTAAATGATAATGAAACAGTCATTAAAGATATGAGTTGGAAGTCATATAAATAAATTCTTGTATTCTGTCACACTGATGTTCATGTGTAACGACTCCTAGTTTTTTGTTTTTTTTCAGCAAAATGTAACATTTTTCAAGTTTGATATATTTTATTTCTGCGTGACTGTATCACATGCTTATATAAAAAAATTCATCATTTCAAGTATCTTGAATTTCCTTATATTTTTAAATGGTAAATGTTACTTACAAATGTTGCGTGATGCTTCAAACTCCACCATTAGAGGTTGTCTCTAGTTCCATGATTTGCTGCTTTGTGGTCTCAACCTGAAATCACAGGTCAGATTGCAGTCAACCATTAGTACAAACTTAATTTTAACTGAACTAAGTCAACTAAAGATACATATATAATGAAATAACAATTTGACCAAAGTCAATCAAAGGTCCCGGAACAATCAAATATATCTGGTAGGTTGAATATCAAATTAAAATTCATATCTATTTATCTTTTAGTATTTTTAAATTCAGTAACATAAATCATGCAATAGACTATGAACAATGGAGAAGGAATAATGTCACTGCATGGAATATCATGCTAGAGTGCTGCCCATCATAGGTATCATGGGATATGAAGCACAAAGCAGTGCATGGTTGTAGGGAATCTTATATCAGACATCCGAAATAACACCATAAAAATATGCAAACACATATTTAAACAAACACCAAAGTAAAACTCAAAATTGAATTCCTTTAAAATAAAACATTAATCAATTCCAGATCAAGACCAAAACCATAAATCAAGAAATATACAGAAATGGAATGAGCTGTATAAATGATTACGGGCGTGCAACAAAATTTGATCAGATCAAGACAAGGAACGATGATGATCATGAATCATGATGAGGAGGACAATGATGATCATGAACCATGATGACGACAATGATGACAATGTGAACTTCTAAATATATGTCAGGTCATCTATATACACCTATCACCAACAACAATGAGGATAAAACCATCCTCCACCAGGAAGTGCTGTGCCAATCATTGTTAAGGTAGTGTGGTGAACACCAGACACAATAGCAATTTTGGATACAACACCCAGGCAGCCACAAATAAGGAGACAAAATCAAGCGAATACTAAGGGTGCTAAGAATTCTGGGGAACAACTACCTCCTTCTCAATTTGTTTTTCGACAAATTCAACTGTACGAAAGACTGTTTTTCCAGTTATAGGGTCTGTTATCTCTTCTGTTTTACGTGTGACCTTTTCACCAATGACACGCGCTGATTCACGCACCTTGGTCTCACCAGGTTTCACATTCACGCGAAGATTTTTATATGTGCTTTGTACAAGGGGCTGTTAGTAAGAATTAAGAAATACAGTGTGTTAGTAGAAAGAAGAAAGCTGTTGATCAATATCATACAGAATTTATTCACCCAGACTGAAGTCCATTAATCAGAAAGAACAGGCAATTTTATCCTAATCAAAAATGATTTAGTATAACTATGGGCATAATACTAGAGATTCCATGTATATTATGCTAATAGTAAAACTACAGATCAAATTAATGACATTAGACTAAGAGTGAAGCTAAGAAACTATGAATTACTGTAGCGACAAATTAACTGAGAAATATTAACAAATGGTAACAGCGACCCAGGTTTATCAAAACCAATGTCATGTTAGACTGTTATTATAATGCAATATGGTATGCACTGAGGCTTGAACAAGTAAATATAACACAAACCTGTGAGTCTGTATGAGCATTAACTGTTACATCGGGTTTCCTGGAAATACAAGAAATAATGTGTTAAAATGTAAGCAGACACAGTTATCTTAATTTAGATGGTAAAGTACTTAGTATTCTATTAAAAATAAAAACATATGATGAATATCACATATTGTGATAAATAGAGCAGATGGAGAAAAATAATTTGCCAGAAACATTTCTACAGGGAATTCAGTGTTATTAAGTCTAGATTTATAAAGATAGTAAAACTAGGTGATCTTGACCATCTCCTTACATACTTGCTAATTCAAGCGTGAATACTGATATAAATTTTGCCGTGACCTCAACAACTCTACGTTTCAAACATGCAGAGTATCTAGTGAGAAAACATGTTCTTAATAAAGGACACACATCCCATGTGTTCCATACAGCATTTTTTTGACATATTAATGAAAATCACCTTTTCTTAAAAAATGGAAAAATTGAAACTTGAAGACGAATGGTTGCTATAGATAAACATAAATGAATGTGTTCAGGAGCTAATATATTAAGCCAAAATCATCATATGATATTGCTAAATAGTGCAGTGTCTGTTATATTAAGAAACAAGGCATTTGAATTTCTGAAAACTTGTAGATGATTTTGAAAAATAAATAGGTCAATTTGAAAAGGTCATTGAAGGTCACATTTATAGTTAGATTTGAACTTTTGAGAACTTCTAGTTGATTTAAAAAAAAAAGTTGATTTGAAGCAAGTTGAAAAAAGACCTTTTTACCTTTTTTTGACCTTGAAAAGATCATTGAAGGTCAAATCTTCAATATAAAGTTACATTTGAACATTTAAGAATTGGATACAGACGCCAACCGCCACCCGCCGATCACCAACTGCTGCCAAAAAAGGAAACCATAACAATAGGTCACCACTTTTTGGTGGTGACATAAAAACTACTACTTTACATCAAAATTGGCAATTACTCGAAAAGAGAGGACTTTGAAAATGGTGATGACAGGTGAATTACATTCTATTTTATAATTGACAATATGAATGCAGATATGACTTAATAGAAAAGCAATTTTAATTTGTACCATCAATGTTAATGGATGGATTGACAGACTGATGGGCAATCTAATTTACAGACACCTAGTTGATCCCATAGGTTTACTATGTGATCCAAAAACAACACAAAACATTACAACAGTATATGCTCACATGTCTACTTAAAACTTCAATTAAGGAATGTCAAGTAAATCATAATAACTTGGTCAATTTAAAAGGGTCATGCAAAAACAGGTCCAAAAGTCATTATACTTGAGCTGCCTTAATATAGTTATACCTGGGAAGAGCACAAGTATTCATCCGAGGTCTTACTAATATTCAAGTGAGGCAAAAAGTACTTCCCGTCAACCAGAACAACATCTATACAATAATACAACATGCAAAACAACAGTACAACAACTCCATTACCTGTCTCCAGTATCATAGCTAGAACACATTGAATACATAAAACCTTAATTATAACAGATATGTACAAGTGCACAACATCTTAAAGAAATAGTCCACTTTAATAGGTTCTGTCTTGATTTGTTTGATTAAGTGCCTATTGATTGTCCGCTTCAAGACAGGATTAGGGTTCGATGGTGGACTACTCCTTTAAGCATGTTAGGACACCAAACACATGGTGGGGTATCTATACAGGTACATGTACCAAAACATTCAATTATTGACCCAACCAAATCATAACCACCATAATAATCACAAAGGTTCTATTGTAAAGGGTTATAAATTTTAATAAATATCTTCTTTGGATAATATGATTTCTAGATATATACTCACTTTGCTATTATTTTGCTAAAATCATGATCTTTGGAATCTGAAGACATGTAGTTCAATATTTCCTCTTTAGACATAGAATTAGTCTTCTGATCTAAAACACAAAAATGGGAATACAATTTTAGAAATATCTTAGAATTGTATCAATATGTTTATGATGTTAAACTGGACTGTTTCAGATATTAGGGCTGTCAAATTAATTGTATGAGTTCTTAAATTTCTTAAAAACATATTTGAGATCTAATCAGGAAATTGCAGGTTCAATTTCTGCCAAGGTGGAGTGACTTTGAAGTTGGTCTAGAGTAGCTATCCAATGCATTAGGTTTAGCCCTAATATACATACACACTGCACTGTATTGCAAAATCCCTTACCATCTTCTATTTTCATTTTAGATATCTCATGTTCTTGGAGGTAGGAAAACTTTTTGGCTGAAAATAAATAATGAAGAGAGTAAACATACAAAATAAACAAAACGTCACAATAAAATGTGCAGTAATTGAGATCATTTTGCTGAGAAAATATAGAAGAATTAATCCAAAAGGATGTCAACACTTCTTTGGCTGTACATCTATATGTTGTATTGCATCCATATTGTATTGTATTGTATCATTTTTGTACTGTATTGTGCTGTAATGCGCTGACCTGTTCTATACTGTATTGGACAGTACTGTACAGTGTTGTACAGTATTGTACCATATGTACTGTACTGTAATTTACTATACTGTACTGTACTGTTCTTCAAATATAATACTGTATTGTACTGTATGTACTACATCATATCCTATCACATATCATATCATATCATATTATATTCATATTATCATACCTGTTTTTGGTTGAGTTTCACTGGACTGTTTGATCTCTTGCTCAAAAAATTTCTTCCTATCAATTAAAGATCTAGTTTTGTTGTCTATGGGTTTGTTTTCTTCTGGCTTGTTCTGTAAAAAAACATATGCAAATCTTTCAATATAGCAGTTTTTTAAATGGTTCCTAAATGATAGGGGAATGGGTTGCTATACAGTTTCTTTGTATGTAAGACCACTGTTTGAATGTTGGGGATTTGTTTTCTTAGACCACTTGAATTCTTCTAAGTTTCTTCTTTTTCTTTCCTTTACTTTTTGATCTTTTTCCTTACAGCACTTGCGCTTGCATAAGCCTTTACAATTAGATATTACCCCCAGAGAATTGTGTATAATGGATAACTAATTTCCTCACTGATGTAAAAGCAGATCAAGAAAAAAACAGAAACACGCTATTAAGAAACAACTTCTTTAGGGGCTTGAGATGTCAATTGCTTTAATTATTTTGCCTCCAACTCTGACTATTAGAAAGAAAACACCCAAAGTGACATTTCTAGGATATTAAATCATAACACTTAGAGTTATAAAGAAAGACTGAGCGAAATATAACAGAGCTACCAGCTGGGCAGCCAAACCCAGAAATCAATTGTCGCGGTGATTCGGCATTAACCTGAAAACTACGCGAAAATCGTGCTTTTCTACAGAATATAGTCCCGCCTCCAAAAATCATATAAAATGACACCTGTGCATAAATTGACTTTTAATATCGATAAACGTAATGGTTTTGGCCGATATTTCGGGAAACGTTTGGAGATATCGGGATGTAACTATATTTCACGAATAATAAGCAAAATAAGGTATGGTGGGTGAGAAAGAAGACCTCAAAGAGAAAAGTTTTGAAACTGGGTTTCGATAATTTTGAAAATTGGGGTCGTATACATGTTTTGGGCATTTTTTTCTGAGATTAGTTATTTATGTGATTTTAGTACAAAACGCACCCCCCTTAACTCGCGGACGTGATTTGAACGTTTTATTGCCCATTCTTATATATGTCTCGAGTTATCAGCCACTTAGTCAGCAGTAATTGATTTTCAGAAAAAAATGTTAATTCTCAGGGATCGATTTTGACATGGTCCCCTGAAGTTGTAAACACTCAATCTCGGATGAAACCCGTAGTTAGCCGATACAAAATAACCAGTAGATGATAAAATTGACTTGTAGTTCCCAATCCCCGCATTAAGTTTTTGTTGGGAATTGATTTCTTCACGTCGAAAAAAATATGTGATCAGAAAATCAGCTAAATGACAAAAACAATTCTGAGGAAACATTAGTTCAGAATGTTTTGGGCAAATTTTTTTCTTACAGATCTGTGGTTAAAAATCTATTGATAAATAAAAAGTAGTCTAAAATACATATGGTGTCTAAATATAAAAATACCTGGATAAGTACTTTTGTCAGGAGACTTGAATCAATTGCGGTCCAGTCATATTGTCGTGTCAAAATTACCCAAAATGGTGAAGCCCTGGCTTTTGAAGAGGGTCGTCTTCGGACTCGAAGTTTTCAGTATTTTTAGCCCTTTAGCAACTAATTCTTGAATTAAACGTATGCGTATGATCTAAATACGCATAAGTAAGCCGTATTGTGCATCAATTCGAAGTTCTTATGGCAATTTGAAGCCATCATCTGGAGCGGTTTCTACTCTTGAATCCGCCAAATTGCTGAAATGCCAAAGGACCTTCTCAGGTCACGTGACCTGTTTTTAAAATTTTGCATTTCAGCCACAAAACAACAACATCGGTCATTCATAAATTGTTTGTGGATGGCTTTGAGCACCAACTTGGCATTACTGTACTTAAAATCAAGAGAGAATGTCAAACAAAACAATAATCGCTAACTGTTTTATCAATTTTTAGTTGATTCCAAGGGGTCTTTCCCTTTCGTTCGTAATTTTAAAGTATCGATGGCGCTGAAAACAAATTGAACTGGCTCAGCCTATTTGAACGGATTTTAGTAGATTCATGGATATTTAGATCAACCGATAGTGTTAACAGGATTCAGGGATTACAGGTGATTACGATGGAGTTCACGGCTTTTAGGTAAGTTCAGTATTTCTGTTAGATAACGTAGTTTGAAAACACATAATTTGAATAATGATGGTGTAATTTTTGATTTTTGAAATTTTTTAAAGTTAGAGGCAATCTCATCAAATTTCAGTATCTTTTATTGCACATAGGATTCTAGAAATTTACTCACACATTGATGTGATAATAAATATTGTATATTTGATGTAAATAGCATCAGGGTCTTGGAGTTAAGCTCGATGTCAGCGCCTCCAAATGACCCATGTTGTTTCAAAATTAGGGACCATATTTTGGGTCATATTGCGCATGCGCAAAATATATAGCTATTTCTTTTGTGCATTTCCAGAAAGCAGGTTCCAGAACTCCTTGATTCTGCCTCTGCTTCGATGTGCCTACCAGATTTAATTTGTGGATTTCACAGGGGATTTCAATGTCATCTTCCCTCTCTGAATCTGAACAGCAATGCCTCAGTCATATTTGTGAATTCCCAAGACTAGATTTGCTTGTTATGTGAGTATAGGTGTAACCTTACATGTGTTGTGCAAATTCAAGAAATTAATGCTGTACAGTAACAGTGTATATTGTTGGTTTGCGACAAAGTCAAGGTAGTTCCGTAAAATGTTTACAATGTTTCTTGACCTGAGTGGCGAGCGAACATTTACAGGGCTGCAGGGGCCTGGGAACCAATAAGGGGAGGGGGGGCAAGTTTCTGGTCTGAGAAAAAACTTCAGCGAAAAAAATGTTTGGACCCCTACAACCAAGTTTTGACATTTGAGGCCCATTATGTTGAAACTTTGGCCTAAAATTAAAAAATAAGGCCTTAGAAGCCCCCATTATGACCAAAAAAGCCCACTTTCTGGGGCCTTAAGACTATTTTGGACCAAAATTTATTTTGGCCCATTTTTTTCTGAGCCCACCCAAATGACGAGGCCCCGGCCATTACCCCCCCCCCAGATCCGCCAATTATATTATGGTCACATTAAGGTCTCATGGTAGTTATCAGAAATTTACACCAAACAGGAAATGAAATAATCATGTTATTTTAAAGTTTTTTGAATGAAGTAAGATAACTGAGTTCTGCTTTGATCTTCAGTCAGTTGTAGTACTCCCATATATCATTTACATGGCCAGGATCACAATGGTTATTGTCAAAATGACCTTTACCATCAAAATAGCTTTTTCAGCCCTAATAAAAAATATATATAACTTTTTCAGGAAATGCCTTGCAAAAGTAGAATAGAGGACCAACAACAATGCCTTGACTCAACCTAGAACAGAAATTATGTTCAAATCCTCTGATGGAGAACACTAGGTAAACTGTTTGTTTTCATGTAACTAACTGAAGTTGGTATACCATATATATCATCTAAGTTTTGATTTTAAAAAATGTATTGATAAATAAGCAAGAAATGAACTATCTATGCATGTGTGTCATGAAAATGTTTCAGAGAAAAATGCATTTTAAAATTATATTCCTCGTAGAAGCAATATTTAAAACATAATATTTGCTTCTTTTCCTGAAACAGTAAGCTAATCAACATTGGATTATTTTGAAAGTTTAAGGAGACTATACTATTGGGTATATTGAAATTTACCAGGCAAGCTTTTGAACCAGGAGTCATAGGGGGGTTTTCTGTATTGATGTTGAACAGAAATAACTTAAAACAGGAATCCTATCGACAGAGGTTAGCTAGGAAATGGGCTAAAAGTGAATTTCGCGAGACACAAGTGACGGCCATTTTGAAAATAGGCGAGCTTTTGAACCAGGAGTCATAGGGGGGTTTTCTGTATTGATGTTGAAAAGAAATAACTTAAAACAGGAATCCTATCGACAGAGGTTAGCTAGGAAATGGGCTAAAAGTGAATTTCGCGAGACAAAAGTGACGGCCATTTTGAAAATAGGCGAGCTTTTGAACCAGGAGTCATAGGGGGGTTTTCTGTATTGATGTGGAACAGAAATAACTTAAAACAGGAATCCTATCGACAGAGGTTTTAAAACGTGCCACTATTGTTGACGGACAGACAGACAGACAGACGGACGGACGGACGGACAGACAGACGGACAAGTGAGTGATTGCAACAGCTCACCATGTGAGCTAATAAAAACATGATTATCTCATCTGCATACATGTTGATAATTTAATATAAAATGGAATTCATCACAATTATGGCAATAATAAATGTGAACATTCTCCCACAAATTATATTTTTACTGGAATGTCTTCTTGAATTATTACCCACAATGCAACATTTGAAGAGATATTATTTACTAGTAATATGTAGATTTCAAGTATGATATCACATTGACTGAATTTTGAAAACTTTGAATTGTGTAAATCAAGATTATTTCTAATAACTAGTCCATTGTTATATTGTCATATTGATTACAGAAAACATGATTTTTTCCTATCAAGTTTCTTATAATATAACATTAATATTCATGTATTTTTCTAATTTTTCAGATTTTTTTGTGTTGGCTGAAGATGTTCCCTGCCATAGGTGCAAAAATGACTGGCTTCAAAGGTTACTAGATACTTATCAACAATATCAAGCTCAGATTTACAACTTCACATGAATCAATCAACAAAAATGAAGGCGTAACGTTACACCATTCACCATCACCTATTAATGGTACAGTTAAATCAACTTTGTCTGATCTGAAAAACTCAGTTCCTGATGAAACACAATGGAGATTTTAAGACCAGACCATGTCCATAACAGCAGAGTATTGATAAGGTGAAAACAAAATGATACTGTGCAATGTTAACGAGATGCCAAGAACTATATACTCAAAATGATAACAATGAATGATAACACGACTTTGATGTTGACATGAAAATTGAACTATAAAGAGAGTCAGTTAGCAGGGACAATTTGATTCTTCTGTCTTCCAACTCTTTGAGGTAATGATTTATGATTCAAAATTAGATAAGGATATATTGGAAAATACTAATATTGGAAATATTCTGGAAAATACTATTTGCTGGAAAGATTTATAGGCTGTCCCAAAAGTATGGGACCCCCACAGGCAGAATGTACCAATGCCCCCATTGTCATATGTGATTTTAAAGCTTATCCAAAGTTACATTGATTTGCCAAGTATCATGTGTCAATTCCCAAATTGGAAAAAGGTTACAGATTTTTCAAAATTTACTTTCTGGCTACAGTTGAAGTTCAGTTTTACACTAAATTAGTAGTAGTGTGTCTTTCCTTGGCCATGTTGCATTTTAAATCATCTTAAAACATTTTTAAGGAAATAAAGAGTTTCCATGGAGTATCTACCCTCACCTTGGCCAAACACTATTTGAGAGTTGAATCATGATACTGGACAAGTCAATGTAATTCTTGATAACCTTCAAAATGTTATATAATACATACTGTGAAGGCATTGGTATATGTCTGCCTAGGGGGTCCCATACTTTCTGGACACCCTGTACACTGGTACATTGGTAAATAGTTTTTAAAATCTTAGTTTTTCATTTCAACCAAATTAATGATTATTTCTGCTTATCTAAAATTTTGGTTGTCTATCCATTGAATCTGTGAGTTTTTGGCATGACCCCCCTCCTCACAGGGGCTGTGTTGAGAAAAAGGGTTAGAAATATGTCGCTGGAATTATGAAATTATGATTTAAAAAAAATGTTAACTGTAATTTTTACATGTTTTTATTCTCATTTTCTGCTAAATCAGCATGCAACCTGGTGGATGGATGCCACATATATCTTGTCATTAAAATACCAAGGAAACAACCTATCAGTTATTTCACATGGCCTCCATTTTGAATTTTTAAATATATTTTGTCATCAAAATGTCTTCCACTCATGGTATTCAATTTGAATTTGTACAACTTTGATGTACAACTTCAAAGTCTATAGCTGACGAACTTTCGGAACTCTGGAGGATAAAACTTCATACAAATCGACTGGTGCTATGCTCATTGAGAGTGATATTTATTAGTTTTTGTCTTGTCCTATTATTTTCTGTTAAAAAGCTAGAACGAGATTCATGAAAACTGAAATTTTGAGAATATCCTCATTCCAAAAACTTGGTCAAATGTAGCAAGTTTTAATGTCATTTGGTCAATTTTCAATTACACACTTCCTGTCTGTCTAGATCTACATTTATTATCCCATCGAAAGAAGTTCATTTTACGATTTTTGCTGTAACTCAAAATATAGTGGAGCGATTTTGTTCATATTTGGTATGTGAATACTATAAGCATTGCACACTGTCTAAAGACACTTTTGGTAGAAGGCGGCCATTTTGAAAAATGGCCGCAATTTTAACGTATTTTACTATAACTCAAAAAGTAGTGGAGCGATTTTTTTCATATTTGGTATGTGAATACTATAAGCATGGCACACTGTCCTATGAAATTTTTGGTAGAAGGCGGCCATTTTAAAAAAAAAATTTGAAAAATGGCCCCCATTTTAACGTATTTTACTATAACTCGAAAAGTAGTGGAGCGATTTTGTTCATATTTGGTATGTGAAAACTATAAGCATGGCACACTGTCCTATGACACTTTTGGTACAAGGCGGCCATTTTGAAAAATGGCCCCCATTTTAATGTATTTTACTATAACTCGAAAAGTAGTGGAGCAATTTTGTTCATATTTGGTATGTGAATACTATAAGCATGGCACATTGTCCTATGACACTTTTGGTAGAAGGCGGCCATTTTGAAAAATGGCCGCCATTTTAACGTATTCTACTAAAACTCGAAAAGTATTGGAGCGATTTTGTTCATATTTGATATGTGAATACTTTAAGCATGGCACATTGTCTAATTAAACTTTGGGGAGTAGTCGGCCATTTTGAAAAATGGCCACCATTTTTATGTGTGTTATTTTACAAGTATGTGTGCGATTTTTCGAAAATTTTAGAGATGGCTACTTAAAAGCATATTAATTCTCCTGATGACAACTTGGCTAGTGAGCAACCATTTTGAAAATGGTGGCCTTTCTGATGTGTTGTTTTATGATATTTGCATTCGTTTGTAAAAATGCCAGCCATTTCTGTTCGATGGGATTCGCTACGCTTTGGCATTGCCGTTGTTCTGGTTTCTATCATGTCTATCTGTGTCTGAAATTGGGGCACACTTTAAAATCACTTCCCTATGAATGATGATGAATTCGTTCCCTTATTGTATGGTTTAGAAGGTATCAATCAAGTTCTGCTATTTTGAACACATGCAATATTATATAAATTGTATTGAATATCATGAAAATAAAGTGAATTATTGATAATATTTAAAATAATTATAACATCTGTCTGTGTCATATTTGTTGTTAGCATAATTTTTACAAAATTTGCAATTATATCCCCAGCATGAAAACATTAAATATTGCATTATTAGAGCAAAAGTATGTACCAGGCATAATTCTGTTACAAATGCTAGGTATAACATTTTCAACAAATGAGTATTCTCGATTTGAAGAACGAAGTTCATCACTCTAGCGTTACCCTGCTTTGCACAATTCTTTTACATTATTTAGGCTAGATTTGAATGTCTGCTTTTGAAAAGATTTAATTTGGGTGATATTTCAAATTTTTTCATATAAAAAAATAAATTATGAGTGCAGTAAACTGATGAACTTCTTTCTCCAAATCTAGACTAATTGTATTTTATTGAATCGGTCTACTCACTGCACGTAATACCCCTGCTTCGAACAATTGTGATATTTTTACATCTTGCAGAATTAAGTGTGTTCTTTTGAATATTCATGATTTAATTTGGGTGATATTTCTAAATTTTTCATTAAAAAATTATGAGCCCAAGAGACTGTTCTCCGTACGGCGACGTCTCCTTTTATTCCAGTCCAGGCATAAATTCTATGCTAAATTTTATATTCGAACACGAATGTATTCACGCCTTCTATAAAATGTAAACAAAGTCAACATTTCACGCGGAGTGTATTCGACAATATTACCCCTGCTTTTCGGTCTATATTTCTTAATTATATTCTCATTCTCAAGCTACTATTTTTACCATTAGCAACCAATTAAAAACTTAGGCCTACAATGGAGTGATTGGATCAATATTTTTATGAATTAGACAATGGTTGCCTCAAGTTAGCCCCTTCAGTGATAAATGAAGAAATGTAACCTCTTGCAATGATATACAAATGTCATTCATGTACATTATGAATATACTTTTCCATATATTATTGCCATTCCTTAAATTTATGCCCCAGCATTGAACATTCTCAGATTCCAATTTCAATATAATATTCAGTTGAAAATCAAAATTAACGTTATTATTCTATATTTTCTGAGTTTTCTGATTTAGTTACATTTACCAATAGAATTTATATTTTCTATGGTAACCCATCATGATAAACAATGCCATCTCAAATCTTCTCAGCCCTGAGATGCCATGATATAATGAGCTTGATTTGGCGATCCAGGAGAGCCCAAATTTGAGGATTTTTGAGATCTTTCATCCCAGCTCATATTTCATCTAATTGGGGTCATTAAACTTGTGTAACTATGCCTGTTGTAATATCTGCTGTTAAATACAATGCCTATTATGTAATGTATTGACATTAAGGTAGATGATTACATGATAACAATCACACTTATTGATAGTTTTAACTTTTCCCATCTGATTTGCTCAGATCACAGAATATGCCTCATAATATCAGAGCATGTTTCAGGTGAAACAGAAAGATGCTATGAGTATCAGAATGATGGTAACCGGGTACTACTAGATATAGTAATTGGTATGTTATAATTTGCCTTTTGGGTCACTGTACTCAGTGACCGGTATCATTGACCTCCTGTGGAATGTATTTGACAAGTACATGTAGTTCACTCTAGAATAGACATCAGGAGACGGTAAAGAGTCGATTAAATACAAATAATCGCGCGTGTTATGCAGTTTTAAGGTATGTGCAGTACCTATATGATATAGACTTTCTTTTAATCTCGTTGGTCAAGCGATTTACCAAGAACAAATCGGTTGAAGAGCTCACTAAACTCGTCGAATGTCAGAAGGAAAATCGCCATTCAGCTGATTCCAAATCGAGTCAGCCCCGATAAGGACAGCTCATTTCAACTTAATGTCCAGCGAATCTGTCTAGTATAGATCCAGACACACTTATATGAAGGGACATAGACCACTCACGTCATAACTTATAAAGTTACACCTTGAAATCTGAAAATACATGTTACAAGTCGAAAACAACAGTTCAAACTGCCTACCGAACTAGTGTTTTTATTCGATTGTTTCAAGGGGTCTTCAAAATTCTCGCAATGAAAGTTCAAATTACCCTACTTATATTGAAGTTTGCGTGATCGAAACCTATTTAAATCGTAAAAAGAAACTATACTTTATGTCTCTGCCAAGTATAAAGTGTAAATATTCTGTAGTTTTTGCAGGATTAGAATATCTATTCGGGAAGTGGGGATTCTGGACGTATGCCGAGAATTTTTAATCACCGGCGCGTAGTGATAATCGTGACGTCATATTTTGGTTTGGCCGCCCAGCTGTACAGAGTAAAGGAAGGTCAATAAAACATTCTAATAAGTCCCTGACATTTACAATTTAGGAGTTACTTCAGAATCAAAGTCATTGAACTGCTTCAATTGTTACTGATTGACGCAGAATAGTTATAGCTGTTGCCGTTGCCAAAAATAATGAACTGAAATTTAATTTGACCTTCATATAGATATAAATCTCTAGAAAAACATAAAAAATGAAGTCACAACGCTTATGTACTGGTATATCAGAAACTAAAATAAATTGAAGCTAATATTAAACATGCAGTTTAATTACACAGTCTGCATAAGCATAAGAAGCTATAAGCTTGAGTTATTGCACAAACATAAATTCCAATATTTGCTTATAATACCTGAAAAGACGTGCAATTTAGTAAAGCCAAGTTTTGCAACAGAAGCCAAAAATTGTACCCTCTTCCTAAATATTCCATTATGAAAACCAAGTAGACCTGATGTCTTATGAGCTACTGGGTGAAAGTCACTTCCAAATCCACATTACCTCAGTCTGTACATCTTCAGCTGGTGACTTGCTTTCAAAGCCAGGCTTAGGTATATTAGTCTTGGGTTTGATTTTAGCTGCAGGTAACCGGGAAGCCCTAATTGGGTCAATATCTCCAGAGGTGACACCTGGTGGAGGGATTTTAGGTTTCTGGCTTACAGGGGGCTGTTTAAAATAATAAAATATAAAAACTTCAAATCTAACTACTCTATTCTAGACATTCAGAAGCTATGAATCTGTACAATCCCCAAATTATCCAGATAATTTTTTGACAGTTAAGATGCATTGTGGAATTAAACAGAGATAATTCTCGAATTCAGTTTTCAATGAAATATTATTCTAAAAATAATTTGCAAAAAACTAGGATCGCAAATATTCTCCCAAAGAAAATGTATCAATATTATTCTAGATTTAATTCTAGGATTGTACGAATTCAAAGCCTAAGGTCTACTACACAGACTAGAAAATCATGTAGTGAGATCATTACACAAGCTAGGGTCTGTGTATGAAGACCGATTCATAGAATACCAAGTGTCTCTCGATGAATTGTAACCATATTATGCCAGTAGCAAATCCAAACAAACATTTTATTCATGAATCTGAAATATGTCACAATATGATATTGTCATGATTTGCACATAAAAAGACATTGATCAGTGAAATCTCAGAATCTGATATTTGAGTCATTGTCAAGACAGATGCACGGATGGATGGACAGACATAGGGACGAATCAAATGGAGAGCTTCGCCATATCCCAACTCAGGCTTCATTCGGTGGGATATTAAGACTAGATCATAAGTTACCCCGTTGATTTCAAAATGAGGTGTCTTAACTTTTAATCACCTAGTAGACTACGGCCCACTCTGATAATTGTAACTCCTTCCTTACATGAAAGGTTACACATTCCAACCTATTTCAAACCATCTGTATGATTATACTGGACACTTTCTGGGTAGTTGGACTTTCTATAGGGGTGGCAGACGGCCCTCAGACCAATTTATACCCCTACCCCCAAAACACCATGGGGGTACTTTAATACCACCCAATAAAAAGAATACTAATGTATGTCAGATATTCATTGTTTTATATTGGGTAGGGCATGTTATGGTTAGCTAGTGCCAGAAATTTCCAATCTCTAACTTATATGGTTACCATAGAAACAGTATTTATATCTCGAAATATTCTCAATTTGACCCCCTCCCAAATGTGTCCCTTTGTTCTCAAAGTGAAATATTTGCAAATCTGTTTGGATTTTATGGCTGCTACTTTGTCAAAAATTGTATCAATATGTATATTTTAACATTTAAACACTGAAAAGTGTTCATAATGATCCTATAAATCAATAATATTTATCAAATATAGTCACACATAGCTGCTTTCAGGGAAAAGTGGGCGTGGCACTTTTTGGTACGTGTGTACTTGTTGCAGCATTAAATGAAAAATACATATTATACTAACAACAATTGACATTTAATTAGCATCTACTTATGTTGTGTAACATTGTAATATGTTCATTATCATTATTAGACACTTTAAATATTTTATATAAGTGTTATCCTGACCCTTCCCTTTATCCCTACACCCTTCAAGGTGGGCATTACCAATCGTGTCAAGTTAACATTTCTGTTTGATTTATTTTTACCATAGACAAGGTTCAAAAGCTTTACCATGAGTACTGACCTTATTAGGTGCTAAACTGATGAATGGATAGGTAGATGGCAGCACTTGTGCTGGTTGGACTACACGCTAGCATCTACCATAGACACATATTAATTTACCATATTTGTTATTTTGGATTAAAGTAAAACTGCTTTCGCATCAAACTTAGTGAGATTCAGATTGTGTTTGAAACTAGATGATCTTCAGATTTTGTGTGAACCTTAAATTCATGACAATCAAAAGAATTCAACATTTAGGAAGTCAACATTAAGATTTTTAACATCATCTCAATGAGAATTTAGCACGACCTTAAGTTAAAGATCATAGAAAATTGAACATAATCAAAGTTCCTCAGTAGAACATTTAATCTCCTAAAATCACATTAAAACTATATCAGCAATATTTCCAAGCTAAATAGTATAAAAACTTCTATCACATCATTTGCAACGTTTTCATTATTCAATAGTTCAACCCTATATGAATTATTGATGATTTTAAAAGTGCAAGGAATCTAAATGAATCAGGGAAGCCAGTGATATGTATTTGCCTTATTAATTGTTGACTTATACAATGAAATAGACTTAGATGCAAGTAGAAATGATCTTGCTTTACATCATAAAAAATTCAAAATTCAGTCAAATAAGTGATATCATATTTGAAATCTTCATGAAGAATTACATTTCTTCATGCAATAAGTTAACCTTTTAGAGAGTAGTTGTGACTAATGTAATCATGCACTTATATAATTTGTCAGTAAAAGTTATTTATCCTATACTTAGTGTTATAGGTAAATAAAATGCATGAATATAATTGATACTTAGGTGAGTGGGGATATACATGTACTGCATATCCCGCTTTATCCCATACTTGGTCGTGTTTCAGGTACATAAAGCAGGTTTTTAAAAACTTATATTTTCATCAGCGGGCAGATATAGCTTTACATTCTGTTGCGAGCAGGCAGATATAGTATATCTGCCCCCTCCGTCATAATCGCCCTTTCGGGATAGTTCCAATATCCTGAACCTCATATAGGATAATCTCTATGTATCGCCAGGTTTATCGTCTGCTCAGTAATCCCCTGCAGGAATTTCATTCTGTGCAATTTCTCATATTTTCGTATATTAGTATATGATAAATAATTTTGGGTACAAGATATAACCCTTGGGAAATACAATATTCTACCCTCAACCCCTCTTGGAGGTATATTGTATTTCCCTCAGATATATTGTATTAATCCCTGTATTAAAAATTTCCCATTAATTAAACCTCATATATAATTCACACTATTTTAAATATGAATCAAAACCATGAATTAGTGATATCCATGTTTCTAACGAAAGCATGAATTTGAAAGAAACAAACATTCTACTCATATGGTATAAAGATATTACCAGTTGTATCCATTTTAGATTTGATTGAAGAACTTCATTAGAGGCAATTTTGAAATTACAATATATTAAAAGAGGCTCTGTTGCTTAGATGGGAGAATATTCTACCCTCAACCCCTCTTGGAGGTATATTGTATTTCCCTCAGATATATTGTATTAATCCCTGTATTAAAAATTTCCCATTAATTAAACCTCATATATAATTCACACTATTTTAAATATGAATCAAAACCATGAATTAGTGATATCCATGTTTCTAACGAAAGCATGAATTTGAAAGAAACAAACATTCTACTCATATGGTATAAAGATATTACCAGTTGTATCCATTTTAGATTTGATTGAAGAACTTCATTAGAGGCAATTTTGAAATTACAATATATTAAAAGAGGCTCTGTTGCTTAGATGGGAGAATCAATTAGCTGCATTGTTCAGTTTATGACAAAATTGATGTTTAGTGTTACTTTCATGAACACCCATCCTGTAAAATAGCATTTGGAATCTAGTAGTTTGTATATAGATGAATTAGATAAGGCATTGTCGAGGAAAAAATATCCAACAAGATTACTAATTTGCTCATGAAATTAGGCATACTTTAACTTGAAACAATTTGTAACACTCAATTTTTGGGGTTTGGAGATCGAAGTAATAATGATGAAAAACAAGCAATTTTAAAATATTTATGTTTTACCCAAATTTTTAAAGATTTTTGTTAGCCTTTGTTTCGTCTGTTTTATTCTCAAATAAATCATGGTCACCAATTTTAAAATTAAATATTACTGGTTAGAGAATGTGATTTCTTACTTTAGGTTATATTTATATCCCGATTTATATGTATAATAATAATTGATGAAGACAAATAGAGATTATCCTCTATGAGGTTCGGGGTATTGGAATTATCCCGAGGCCAATATAATATATCTGGTCGAGGGTCGTAGGTCCCGAGGGAAGATATTTTCTATTGGCCAAAGGCCTTAGGTCCTGAGGGAAGATATATTATATTTGCCAAGGGATAATCCTAATAGCATGAACTGACTATAGGATTATCTGTTTATCCCATATCAATCTCTCTTATCTGGTTCACATTGTTCAATTGGCCAGAGTTAGAAAGAATACAACCACATGAATGTATTCATGACTAATTTTGTTTTCTTGGCCTTAGGAGGATTCTCCTGTTTTTTAAGTATTCATCCACATATTCTCGAATCATTGATTATTAACATATGTATTAAGTATGCTACTTCCTTCATTGCTAATCATACACAAATGATGATTATGACTTAGTGGGCAGGTGTAATTTATCTGCCCTCTCAGGCAGGGACATTAGCTATATCTGCCCGCTGATGAAAATATAAGTATTTATAAACCTGCTATATGTATCTGAAACATATCCAAGTATGGGACAAATGTATCCACTTTGATTTCATACACTAAACCGATTTGTTTAGGAATTATATGAAGTATTTCAAAAACATATACCGAACCACTATTGAAGGAATCATTGAAAATACAGCATATCAGAAACATGTGTAAATTGTTTATCTTGCAATTATTTTGCTAAATACTAATAGAAATTATACTGTACCTTCCAGAGGATAGCTTTTTTGTTAACTATGAGCCAATGAATGAATGAATGCATTTTATTATAACTGCAAAATGATGCTCTATGCAATTCATACGAAAAATTAATTTTGCCATATTAGAATCAAGTATAATCTTTAATCCATTTGATAGATAGATCATGCATTGCCTGATGTTGAGGTATTGATAAAAGAATCAGCAAGTGTCTGACAAAATAGATTTTAGTGTTGTGTATTAGGCAAAATATTAGGAAGGGTATAAATGGTCTCCAATCTTTCTAGTTTTGAGTATTATGTCTTGTTGCTTTGATTCAAATTATCCTCGGTCACTATTTGTAACCCCTCCCTCCTTCCCCATTTAGGCCATGGATATGAAGATGTTTTAGAGGTTATGTGAAGGATACCAGGGAAGGGTTAATAGCCAGAGTTAAATTAGTTCATTTAATCATAAATGTTATGCAATTCACACTAGCATCAAATATCATACCAAAAGGATTGAACTGTTCATTACTTTTCAATTGCAGTAAACATGGTAAA